GGTTTTCTATCGAATACATTTCGGGGAGTATGCGTAGAAACTTTTCAATTTCCTCCCTCACCGTTCCTCCTTCGGTTGACTAGAAGATCCGGAACACTCCAGCCTTATGTCGTTGATATACCTCCCATTGGCACTAAGCGCTTTGCCCTCTGCTTTCTGATACTCTGCATCTGTGTTTCCCGAAAAGTACAATTTGTCACGGCTGGAGTGTATAGGCATTTCTCCACCAACGCAAAACGCACCACGTCGTTTTAGCTCTTATTTTACATAGCATAGTATTTTTGGGTTTGGAGGGGCTACCCCCTAATATAATAATAACCCTACGGTTATACTTACAAGGTTGTCACCACACTTATTAACGCGGAATCGGCTGGAGCTGGTCAGGAAACGCTGTGTATCCGTGCAATAGGAACGAACGAAAAAACGTTGCGTGTCTCGCTGCCGCTTGGACCACCTATGCGAATCGGACAATGTCTTTATCGTTTTTATTACAAGCATTCCAAGCTTCTTTAACCGACTTCAGAAAAAAAGGAGGTTCTCAATTCGACTGTTTCTTTTTTTATGTATCTTACACAATTACTCCGGTATTTGTGAACCGATTTCGATGATTCTTTTTTTTTCTGTTAGAAAGAGGGTGCCTTAGTATTTGGTCCCATTTCAATTTAAAGAAAATATTCCAGTTCTAAAGATGGTAAACTAGAGGGTGAATCCGGATTCGCGCACTTTCCGGTAACCGATTTCAATAAAACTTAGCAAGCAACTGCCTCCGTGACCGAACGGTTACCCTGCCGGACTGCCTTGCAGAGGTCCCAGGTTCGATTCCCGGGCCGAGAGAAATATTTGTTTGGCCTACATTTATTTCTCTCGTGAGTTTGGGTGTAATTTGTGGTTGTCTATGTGTGTATCCATGGCACCCGCGACACAGGGTTTCCCTAGTGCGGGACTATTGAGTGTGTACGTTATTAAATTATTATTATTAATAGATGTAATTCCACGAACTTTTAAGGTCGGTTTTTTTATAAAAAAAGTTATAATTTGACCAACTTATTGTGATTCCGCGGCGATGAATGTATTGACTCCCTTATTTGAAATCTTTAGTTTAGTGTGTCCCGTTGTTTACCACGCATCTGACGATTAGTGATTGTTAAATAGCAATCTTGTCCAGGAATGCACTTAGTCCATTTCTCTCTCGCTACACTATACCAATCTCTCTCTTCAACATTATTATTCCCATCTGTTGGTTTCTCTGCTGAACATGTCGTTTTGAGAAACACATCAGCTCCTTAAATCTTTGGCGGTACGATCTATCCAACTCATCTTCGGTATACCTCGTCTTCTAGACTCAGAGTTGTTCAGATTGATCACGGCATTACCAATATAAGGCGATGATCCTCCTTTTTGTGGAACATTTCTGTCAGTTCCTTCATCCAATTACACTACACCAATAACTATTTTTATTTAACAAGGTTAGTACACAGATGGTTTTGAGCAAACTTGTGTACTTCATATTAGACTTTTTGGTGTTTTGTAGCTAAATGTTACCAAGAACTCATACATCAACATAAAATTTTCGCATAAAGGATTTCATAAATGTGTTTTGCTTACGACAAATCGCGTTTTGGTTCAAGAATTTACGTCAAACATTCCACAGAACTGGTTCATCAGCGCATTATATTACAAACTTGATTCATTGAATTGATTTGCCAATGTCTACCGCGACAATTGCGAAATGTTCCGTGTTGTCAGACAATTAGAATTTTATTTTGTAACAATGACAATCGACAATCATCTCTGTCACCTTGTCTGGGTCGGTGACCGGTTTGGGCAAGTATTGGCACGTAGTTGATCTATTGTTATTTGTTTAAGTTTAAGAAGCGCCGGTGCAATTATGGCTCGATGGGTCTTGACACAGGTTGGGAGATCAAATTAGTTAACTAGTTAACATTTTTTAATTTTCCTTTAGCCTGTTCCGCGTTCCAGAGACGCTCGGTGTACCTAGCGATTTCATACTGTAGCGTCCTAGAGCCACACAGTGTCTCTAAAAAAAATTTTCCAAATTTTCCAAATTTTCAAAATTGCCGTGCGTCTTTAGGATTCGTGGCGGATTAAGTTGGTCGAATTATATTTTAATAATATACAATAATAAAAGTGTCATCTAAAGAGCGGTAAGGGCCAGGAATAAAAGTGGACAAAAAAAAACAACTCAATGAAATTAACAGGCGTATACGTTTGATATGGGCAGCATACGCAAAGCTGGAGTTTTCTTTTAAAATGAATCTCACGGTGGAACTAAAAGCAAGAATTCGACCTCCTATATCCATACTCCTGTACCCTGCCAGTGTTAACAAATGGTGCCGAAACCTGGGTGCTAACAAAATACATAATTCACAAATTACAGGTAGCACCGAGGGCATTAGAGAGGAAACTGGTGGAAATTACACTCAAAGACCGCAAAACAAATATGTGGCTCAGACAGTAAAGCAAGAGTCAAGTCGCAGATATCACGAAATGCGTAACCAACCTTAAGTGGCGGTGGGTGGGTCACGTTGCCCGCATGGCTCCTGGTGTAAGGCCGTCCACGAATGTCGACTTTGGGAAAAAATAACGTCCCAGAGGGAGACCGCAGATGCGTTAAAAGGATGACATTGAATAAAGTGGCGGGATTGAATTGGATACAGTTGGCACAGAACCGAGAGAAGTGACAGAAACTGAAAGAGGCCTACACCGATATAGTTGAGAACGGCTAGAAAGACAGAAGAAGACAATAATACATATACATAAGCAAATTAGGACTAACTTACGTGTAGCATTTTTCACTCTTCTTCTGTCTCCCCAAGTGATTTTATACTTAGGTAATACGGCTGAGATTTATGAAACGAACTTTGACTGTGACTGCGCAAAAATGGCGCACAAAGCAAAATTTTCGTAGGTATTTACAAAACGAATTTTGCCTAAGTTTAAGCAAGTCGAACGAAGTTAACGAAGTCAACTCATCATTAATTTAATTTCTTGCTTAAACTTAGGCAAAGTTCGTTTTGTAAATTCGAAAAAATTACTTGGCTCACCATTTTTGCTTACAACGAAGTCAAAGTTCGTTTAATTTGATTTTATATCCGAAACGTCGAGGTAAATATAATATGTTTTATATACGATTAAGTCCCGATTTAAAATCAAATAATTTGTGAAAATCGTAAAAATTTTAATCAATGTATATCAATCAAACCCTCAGTACCCTTAAATCCACATTACCTACAATGATAATAACACGGTTTAATGCACACAATAAAGTAATACTTGATTTTAACGTTTTCCTAGCAAAACAAATCAATTAGAAACGTAATGTTTTCTCATTATTTCCGTATTCGATAAAACCAACGGTTTGTTTCAGTTTCCTGACCGATTTTCTGACGATAGCAAATTTTATTACTTGCAATCATAACAGCGTGGATTGTTGTTAGCAAATAGTGCGTGAATTCGAGTTTTTTAAAAGAACAATTTCTGAAATACACATCTGCAAAATTGTATAATATTTATCAGGTAAAATAGCTCTTGTCGGCGTATTTTGTAATGCTACTGAAAGAAAAAAAATGTTTTTTAGCTCTGCAAAAAATCAACTCGTGCCCTGTAAATCTTTACGGTGGACACAGCAAGTCACGAAAGTTTTACCGCAATCGGATAAATACAATTTTTTTAAGATAATATCATGTGACGCGACGAACAAGCGAAGTCCTTTAAGCGACACGCCTATCCATAACAGTTGCAGTGCCATTCAGAGTTAACACTCGTTACCTATCAGATTATGGCTTTATGCTTTTTTATGATTTAAAATGACGGGACGAACAAATGCGTCTGGTGGTAACCGACACGCCTGTTCATAGCATTTGCAGTGCCACTCAGAGCTTTAAATCGCAAAGATCTAAGGGGCACTGCCACCGCTCGAGTCACCCTGAAATATAAGTTAACAAGTACCATGTGCCTGTCATTTCACCAGCACCCTTACCCTTCAAAGCTGGAACGCAGCTGCTTGGCGGCAGAAATATTATGGTGACAATACTTCCCTGGACGAACCCTTTCACAAGGAGTTCTGCCGGTGCTAAATAGAACAAAAATATACATACATTCATTTTTATATGTGGCCTATTTCGAGGCACTTGGGACTTGACAACTTACGTCTCAGGGTGACAGGCGCAGTGACAGTGCCCCTCAGAACTTTGCAATTTAAAACCCTGAGTCACTGGAACTGCTATGGACAGGTGTGTCGCGTACCACCAGGCGCAATACCTGTTCGTCCCCTTGTTATCATAAAAAAAATTACTACATTTCAATGGTTGATATTTAATGACAGTGACGTGTATACGCACAATTATCGCAATTTTACCAGTTACAAGACAAAGAAGACCAATCTTACGACTATGGAAAATTCCCATAGACTGATTATAATAAACTTGACCTTTTGTTCCGTTCATTGAAGCCAACCGTTGGAAATTTTGGTTATAAGCACTCTAAAAGGTTTGGTTAAACAATAGAAATCCGAAATGGGCTGAAGTAACGCTAACTTAGCGTTGGTAGTGATGTGTGGGTGGCAATTACCACTTATCTTCGCCGTTGCTGCAAAAAACGCCGATGCCAATGTTTTTGCAAAATTAGTAAATTGAATTAATGTGCGTGTGTAGGTTCTTTGTTTCTACTTTAAATTGTGCGTAGGACATTGGTCTTACTTTGGTGACTACGTCTCTGTGGTTTATGGCTATTTATAAATACATATATATAAATTATTATACATTTTTTATACATATCTTTTCGACATATATGTTATTTATTACATAGGTACGATCAAAGAAATTATAGGCAAGACTATAGTTACTTTGCCTCACCAAACGCGGCAATCTACGTTTGGCAAACTGATTAAGAAAGATAATGCCGTCCATCTCCCGGATTAATCCCTTTGTAGCTTTCTAACTAGTAATTCCGATGCTTGATTTCGAAAATATTGTGTTTAGATGATCGTGATGTGGTGACAGCCCAGCGTGATGATGAGGCTCGACGCGCCTGAGAAGCAGCACCGCTACCACAACCTGCTCGATGACGACCACGCCAGTAAGTACTTTTAGAGCTAAGGTTCCTAAATTGGTTTTCTTTCGAAGGTCACGTGTCATGTTTTAATATGGATTTTTTACAAATTCATTAACTTCAAATGTTAAATTGACAGCTGGCACAGTACATACTTTGATAAGTTAAGAACTGTAATGTGAAAAAACTAGTAGGTACTTTGTAAAAAAACAGTTTCGTTTTAAATTTAACTGAATATGACGTTTACCTCATAAGTAATTTATTTTTATTACGAGAAAGTAGTATGTAGTGCATTGGTACTATCCGCGCAATGTGAATTATTCCATTTTTCAAAAGTAAAAACTTTCCGTCTACCCTCGTAGAACCCCTAGTCCGGTATATGAACCCCTTTGAGGTTAGAGCGGGCTTCTGGGAGTCGACATAGACCACTGCGGGAATTATCGCTTTAGAGGTTTTCGACTTTGCCAATCATATTTTTAGGCCGTCACTATCAAAATGTAGCACTTTCATGTTTTGCATAGTAAATTAGATAATCAATTGATTAAATATACTTATGCCATATTAAGTGATTGTTGACTATAAATTTATAGCGGGGATTAAGCAATCGTTTTCTAGCTCAAACGACACATGTAATATAATATTATGTATTTTTATGTAACAAATCCTGTGGGCGAACGTTACGTAATATGTCTATACTTTCATCTAGAATCTTAAGCTGCACCTTTTTTGCGAACTGGTAAAAAAATTGTTTAAACTGTCGTTGTGATTTCAGTCTGTTGTTTTACGGTATCTTATGAAATAACCAATAAATTTTCATTTTAAATAATTATGTATAACTGTTTTATTAAATAAACCGACCTCAAACGGAAAGTCAGTGAAATCCAATAAACCCAATTCATCCCCTAATGTGGAATATTTTCTTCAAATTTGAATAGAACCACTACTGAGGTATTCCCTATACAACAAAAAAGGATCATCGAAATCGGTTCACAAATGCCGGAGTAACAGCGTAACATACACAAAAAATTATCAAATTGGCTAACCTCCTTTGTTTGAAGTCGGTTAAAAATTTAAAATTTACAAACACGATTACTTGCTACCAGGTAAAAAATACCACAGAATTTAAGGGCATTATCTAAGAAAAGAAAATTGATTTTTCAATCTGTGAAGATGTAGTCGTTTTAATGATGTTATTCTTAATAAATAAAATTGCAAAATACAGCTTGTTATGAGTAGTTACTAAAAATTATAGATTATCGTGCAAAGGTACTAAAAATTGAAATAAAAATGTATATGAGTAGGTATATATTATGATACCACCGTATACAGTGTCCTTGAAACCCGAAAAGGGTGCTACAGTCTTCCCTGTCCTTGGTCGTCGTAAAGACTGATGAAAACAATCATAAGTAAACTGAAAAATAATATAACAAGTACTGTCGCTACCGGCTATTTTTTACCTATACTCACTTTATTCGTATGTCATCGCCAAGAACCGCGTGCGAACTGGTGTTATCGTGGTGTGCATATGCATTAACTATTGGTTAGAAAGTACCAAGAGCCCCGTGTAGCCAGGGCGCGCAGAAAAGTAATTATAATCGTACATAAATACTCTGTGGTATTTTTTACCCACTAGCGAGTATTGCCGGGTCAAAGGACCTCAACAAAAACTAAGAAAGCCACTTCATTCTTCAAATTAGCTTTCACATTAAATGCCTATCACCTATTATAGACCAATTTTAGTTACTTTAGGTATACCTACGAGTAATGTGACCGTACCGATGCGGTGTAACCCGCTGCGCCGTCCTCGTCGTGGGAGCCGGCTTGTGTACACATCTGATGTAACAATTTTTCTTCGTAGAAGGCTATTCACAACTTTAAAAGGTCGACGAATTCTTAGGTTTTCGCGATTATTACATATAGGAAATAAAACTATTTTTGGGGATCCAAATCGCATACCTGTACTTATTTTTAACCCACTTCAAAAAAAGGAGGAGGTTCTCAATTCGACTGTTTTTTTTTTGTATGTATGTTACGCGATAACTCCGGTATTTGTGAACCGATTTTCATGTATCTTTTTTTGTTGGAAAGAGGATACCTCCATAGTGGTCCCATGTAATTTTGAAGAAAATCATCCACCTCCAAGGGTGGCTGTTCACGCATGAAGATTCATTTTTATAAATAGCGCCTAAATTTTATTATAAGGAGCAATTATTTTAATGGTTGATTTTGCTATTCTCCAATTCAAGGCGTTTATCTCAATTTGAGTAGTGAGAACCGATTTTTATTATCTCCTGTGTCAAGTCCCGTATAGTGGCGAACTAGGGGATGAATCCAGGTTTGAGCACTTTCCGGTAACCGATTTCGATAAATCTTGGTAATTATTTGTACTTCCACGTACTTTTGAGGTCGATTTTTTTTGTACTCTGTACTGAGATTTTTTTTTTTTTCAAACAAACATCACAACTGACTGACTGACTGGTCACATGGTCACGACTGACTCCCTACTCAGTTCCCTCTTCTCTCACTCTTCAGTTGACCGTGACCATGGGATCTGTAAAGGACAGAAGGACAGAAAGGAAAAAAATAGTTTAATTTCCTAGTTGTACTACAACCACGCCATTACAAAACTTCAAATAAAATGACACATGGTTATAAAGTACACAAGTTCTAGAAATTACGACAGGTGACGGTGACTTATTAGGACTAGTTCATGGCTCAATATACGTCCATATTAAGGCATATCTTAAAAGGTGTGGTCCAGCCACCTGTCACTTCAATGTTGTTACCTGTTCGGCTATTATTATGCCAATAAGGATATTCAGTATCCTGATAGTAACATATGTTCGAGGCATCAGGTGCGAATCAGCTGTTTCTAGCATGTGTTCATTTTATTATTGTCCACTTCTTTATGTTGAAATATGTAAAATATTGGATGTGAGCTTTGTATGTTTCTTTTATACATTTGTTTTATGATGTTGTCACTCTGATTAGAAGGATGTCACCTGAGCTCTACTGTTTTTTTTTTGTTTCGATATAATATATTGTAATACAATATTGTACATTGTACCACTAGTGATGCTATTAATAATATATCATGCAATATCTGAAGGCTAGTTTAGCGTGTAGTTTTTGCTCACGCTTGACGTCGTTTGATATGTCGTTCACTTATTCTTATGTAGGAATATACAGTTTCAAACAGGAACAAACATTATGACACTAAAACCAACTACGCCACCAATCTGTATTCGAAGGTTAAAATAGTTTTTGCTGTTTAAAAATTCTCGTTAATATATTTAAGTTTGATGAAGTGCACTTGATTGTAAACGTAACTTTATGTAAAATTTAAGAACATTATTTTCGACCGCAAAAACCGCTTTTTATTCATGCCAAGATTATCAAGGTTTATTCCCAAAATGGTGAGCTAAAATCATAATTACCACGATATTCCCAAGACTCTTGGCCACGGCAATTCTTATCAACATTATGTGCAAGATTGTGGTGAACACAATTCATAGTATTACTTTATCGTAGCTCTAAATCTATCATAAGAATACTTATAGGTAAAAAACATACAGTACGATAATTATTTTTATCATAAGTAGTAGTAATTATAAAATTACATCGAATTTAATACATAAAAAATCGATTTCTTTTTTGTGTTGTTACTATATCGAAATCACTAGCGATTACGTAAAAAATGTTATACACAAAAATAATTAAAACTCATATTTCAACACTACGCACTGTGCAGAAGTACAAAAGACGTAACATATAAAAACAACCGTAATTTTACGTTAATTATATACGGTAAAGAGGGCCGCATTCGAAACAAAGCCTATCCCCATCTCTACATTAGACCACAGATAAAAAACGATATACCTACCGGGTGCGCGCGCGGCGCACCTGACTTCCGGTCGACGACTTCCTGCGTTTTGTACCTGTGACGCCACGCGTGGGTGGACACGCCATTGGCCCATTAGCCCTACCATTGCTGGTTATCTTGTTTTGAATAGAATGCTTTGGAAAGTAGGACCCTTTATGCAAATTTATTTTAAAGGGAATATCCCTTTCCCTAACTCATTGCGTAAGTATGCTTTACGCGTTTGAGGGTTGTCAAGTGGAACTCGATAAAAAAAAATGTTAGTCAAATTAGCTCACGTGTTACAAAACTTGTTTTGCTTTAAAATAGTCGAAAAAGAACGTACAGCCTTTAACAAACGATTTCTTCGTGTAAAAAAATCCAGAATTTTTTGCAGCTTCAGGAATCAAAATATACATACTAATTTATAAAATTACATAAGTATACAATAACAGTAAACATTACTAATTTAATATTCAATTGGGAATTCGTAGGTACACCTCTGCCATTACAAAACCACGATGACATACCAATGATGACCCTGACCGACCGCCATATTGGCAAGATGGCGGCCTACATGCGCGTGCGCTTGATCTTGTCATACATGTATTGAATAGAGATTGCAATTTTATGATTTCACCTCAATATGTACTTGGTATTGTCAGTTATTCAAATAATGATTATGTTCTAGTCGCAGTAGTGCCGTTGAAAAGCTTTCGTGACACTAAAAGTAGCCGAATCAAATGATTTATCAAATACATCCAAAGCACTAAAATTGAGATGCCTCAAGTAAAAAACAACTACGAGAAATTATAACTTGGAAACCGGAACTCTAACCATGTAACCTGGTACTAGAACCGTTCCAAATCGATGAATTCGAAGATCATTACGTTCCTATGTAATATTATTTATTTAATCATAATATGCACGAGTGTCGTAATATATATGTCTATATAAGTAGTGTCTGTGTCACGTATATATTATGTTCATAATGTTTTGATTATGACGATATACCAAAAAAATTTTATATTTTATTTAATATAGGATGAATTTACGTTGTAGTGATTTATCAAGCATTGGGTGCTAATAATATTAAGTCAAATTTAACATAGTGACATCATCAATTGTTTGCGGATCGTATCAGGATAGGAAATTACCAAAATTAAAA